GGTCTGACTCTGGTTGGGCTGGAGCCTGAGAACCTGCATTTCCGACGAGCTCCCAGGAGGGTGATGGGCCACACTGTGAGTGGCCCTGGCCTACGAGAGCCTCTGGGCAACACCGGGGGGTGGGTGGGGGGGGGTTGTGGGGGGTGGGGGGGTGGGGCCCGCCCTCACCATGTGAGCTGCCCCAGCTGCGCCCTGAAGGCCGCTGGGGATACACCCATCAGGACGCCCCAGCCCAAGGATCCGGAGAGCCTGGAAGGCTGTGTTAAGTGCCCTGGGCTTGATTTTGAGTGTGGTAGGAAGCCTTGCAAAGATTTTAAGCAAGAGTTGAGGCCGCTGGACAACTGGACAAAGCCAGCGCCCGCCCACTGGGATCAGTTGTAGGGAACACGTCGGGGGCTTGGAGTAGCAGTGACGGAAGGAGGGAGAGGCCGCAGATGCTGGAGCTATAGCAGGAATAGAAGGAACCTGGTGAGTCATGGCCTTGGCTGCCGCAAGGAGACCAGGAGGAGGGTGCGGGAGGACACGGGGGTGCCTGGCTCCAAGGCTGGGAGCCATTTCTGAGACCAGAGATGTGGGGGAGCGCTGATAAGGGGTTCCATCGACCTGACTGATGGACACAGGGAAGGGGAGTGGGCTTCCTTTGAACATAGCAGCCCTCATTGCCTTGGGCTGTGTGGCCTCCCCTTGCTTCACCCCTGTTCTGGCTGCTCTGGGCTGGGGGGTGTCCATGGTTGACCCCCCAATTCTTCTGGGGCTCTGTGTGCAGGCTGTTGCTCTGGCCTTAGGAAGAGTCCTGCAACAAATTTCCCAGGGCACCAGGAAACAAGCAAGTTCCATCCAGCTTGTGTTACCAAAAAAGGACATTTTCCCCCTTTGAAGGTTTGCCCAGCCCTTTCCCTCCTCCCCCCAACCTGGGGTTTCAGGTTTCCAGGGAACTGTTTCTGGAAAGTGTAGGACTTTGAGTCACACGCATCTGTGTACAGGCAAATATGATATGTACGTACCACACTCCGTCTTGATGTCATAAACCTCATCTTCCTCCTTCTCCTCCTCCACCACCACCACCACCTCCTCCACCACCACCATCACCTCCACTCACCACCTCCTCCTCCACCACCATTACCACAGCACCCTCCTCCTCCACCAGCATCGCCTCCACTCCCCACCTCCTCCACCACCATCACCACCTCCTCCACCCACCACCTCCTCCTCCACCACCACCATCACCGCCACTCACCACCTCCTCCTCCACCACCATCACCACCACCACCTCCTCCTCCACCATCACCTCCACCCACCACCTCCTCCTCCACCACCATCACCTACACCCACCACCTCCTCCTCCACGACCACCATCACCTCCACTCACCACCACCACCATCACCTCCTCCACCATCACCTCCTCTACCACCCCTACCTCCTCCACCACCATCACTATCACCACCATTACCACCACCACCTCCTCCACCACCACCTCCTCCACCACCGTCACTACCATCACCACCGTCACCACCACCTCCACTCAGTCCCATCCTGGCCTAAACACTTTCATACGCTGCCTCTTAAATTGTTAGTTTTCACCGCTGCTCCAAGAGGGGAGAATTACGACCTCCATTGTTCAGATGAAGAAACCGGGCCACAGAGAGGCAGAGCTACTCAGCCACAGTCCTAGAGTCGCTGTGGGGTTGGGACTAGGGTGACGCGAGCAAGGTCATGCAAAAGCGCAGGGTCTGATCCAGGCTTCATTTAAATTTTGTTCATAGCTCACCCTGGCGCCAGCCTTGGCAGAGCCAAAGTTGGAATCCAAAGCTGGGCTCTGGACTGGTCCCTGTGCTGCCCCGCTCCTTATACCTGTGTGCGTGCATGAGCTTATTTACGTATTCTTTTTTTTTTTTTTTAAGTAAACTCTGCACCCAATGTGGGGCTCGAACTCATGACCCTGAGATCAAGAGTCCCATGCTCTACTGACTAAGCCAGCCAGGCGCCCCACGTTTGTGTCTTCTTTCCTTCAGTAACCATAATTGTGGCAAGGTGGCATTATAGAGGGCAGGGCTTGGGAAGCAGACAGTTCTGGATCTGACCTCCACTGCTCATTATTGAGGGTATAGCCTGTGGTTCGAGGCACAGACTCTGGAGCCAAGAAGGCCTTGGTTTGAAATCTGGCTCTGCCACTTGCTGACTGTGTAAGTTTGCGTTAGTTCCATAAAAACTTGTGCCCCGCATTTCTCGTCTGTAAAGAGGGATGGTGGTACCAACATCTGCTACCCAGCGTTATTGGGGGATCAAATGAGTTCATTTCTGTAAAGCCCGTGGCAAGTAGTAAATGCTTTGTAAGTGTTAACTGTCATTTTTCATCCTTGAGGAGATACCTCTCTGAGCCTCAGTTTCCCCATGTGTGAAGGATGACCAGGAAGAACCACCTTCCAGGCTGTTCTGAGGACTGAAGGGGATAACGTAGGTAAAGGGGCTCTCCTGTGGAAGGAGCTTAATAAAAGCTCTCTCCCTTATTTCAGGCCCAATTCTATATGCTGGAGACTGAGATACAAAGACACACATCAATTCCCTGAGGAATTAACTCATCTGCAGTGTGGACCCTGAGTTGACCTTTCAGTTCCCCAAAGGCACTGAACTCTTAACTCTCTCTCCTCTCCCTGCCTTGCTGTCCCCACGTCTCCTGTTATGGGTCTAACTCCTGTTTGTCTTCATGTCAACTTAACTGTCACATTCTCAAAGAAACCTTCCCTGACCCCACCCTGCCACTGACCTGTGTTGTCTTCCTGCTCTACGTGGTCACTGCCTTCTCGACTCTTCCTTCATGGCACTTCTCACAATTGCAATTGAGGACCTCTTATTTAATCACCTTTTATTAAAAACATTCTGTTGTTTGTTTACCACCTTTCACCCTCACTTGACAGTGAGGACAGGGACAGGGTTTGTCTTACCCACGGGAGTCTCTGTCCTCAGCTCCTGGCCAAGGGTGGCACCTTTCCAGAGTCGTGTTCAAGCTCACAAACTCTGGAGTCCTCTTGCCTGGGTTCAAAGTCCTAGCTTCTGCCTTTATGGACCCTGAGACCCAGGGCAAATTATTTCACCTGTCTGTGCCTCAGTTTTCTTTTTTTTTCCTGCAAAATCAGGAGAATAGTAAGGGCACCAGCTTTCCTAAGGCGTGATGATGAGTGCATGAGATAATCTGCATGATTCCTTTAGAACGGTGCCTGGCCCATTCGTAACGGGGCTATTATTTTGGTAGGCGCTCCTGGCTAGACTAACAGCTGAAACAAACATCCCCCAAATCTCAGGTGCTTAACACCGCAAACATGTAAGGTTTGCTTAAATGTTCCACATTGAGTGTTTAAATGTAATGCCTAAATGTTCCACATTCCAGTGTGGGAACTTTGCACTACTCAATAATCATTTCTGGACCTAGGTTCCTGACTCTGTGTTTCTGTGTCCACAGGGGGTTCTGTGGATAGAATTCAGGGAGTCTGTGAACTTGGATGCTGTCTTAGGTTAGCTGAGCCTGAGGTGGGGATTTTTTTTTATTTAAGATTTTATTTATTTATTTGAGACAGAAAGAGCACAAGTCGGGGGAGAGGCAGAGGGAGAGGGAGAAGCAGGATCCCTGCTGATCAGGGAGCAGGACCCTGGCATCATGACCTGAGCCGAGGGCAGACGCTTAACCGACTGAGCCACCCAGGCGCCCTGAGGTGGGGACTCTTGCTCAGATGATTTTTTTGAGGGGACACTCTCGGGAGAGAAGGAGAGTGACAGAAGCAGGGTAGGGCCGGGAAGTAACCAAGCAAGGGTGTGATCTTACCTGCAGTCCTGCTTCAGCCTGGCCCCACGGTCGGGGTTCTGGAGCCTGACTTGTACTATGGAGCTGGCTCTTCCTGGGGCAAGAGGGGGACTGGTGGGTGTCATCAGGCATTAGGTGTGGGCTGCTTGGTTGGAGTGGGGGCGTGGCTTCTGTGGGTGCAGTTCTCTGGGATAGCAGTGAGCATTAGCAGCCTATACAGGAGCTAGGGGTGGGTGCATTTGCCCAGCGAAGTGTTCTGGGCAGGGCACCCAAAGTGTCTTCAACAGATGGAAAAACTATCTTATTTTTACTAATCTATTACTGAAATTCAGCATTTGCTTCAGTTATGGCGGTAGGCAATAAACCATAGTAGTATTAGAAGCATCTGTGACTTTGTCACCAGTGGAAATTACATACTTTCATGTCACATTATTATTGTTGCAGATATTTTTTTTATAAAAATCTTATTTTTTTTTTCAGTAATCTCCACAACCAACATGGGGCCCAAACTCACAACCCCAAGATCAAGAGCTGCATGCTCCCCGACCTGAGCCAGCTAGGCGCCCCTATTGTGGATATCTTTGAAATACCCTTTCTGCTAATCTGTACTTTAAAATTATTGTGGTTAGTTCACTTGCTAGATATTTTGTTCAATGTGTTAATGAAGAAAATGCATTATATTACAGATTCGTTCCTGTAATATTTTGGAAACAGTGTGTCAATATAATTGCATCCCTTTGTAATCCTATGTATTTTATGCACTTTAAAATATCATTCTGAGAAGGGGTCCATAAGTGTCACCAGATGCCTTTGTGTCCGTGACACAAAAGAAGTTCAGTTCCCCATTCTGGGGTGTTGGCCTTCCCTCCATTCAACCAGCAACAGGGGGAAAGGAGAGGGTGTAGAGGATCACACAGGAGGTTTTAATGGGCCAGGCCTGGAAACAGCATACATCATGTCTTCCCACAGTGCACTGGCCAGGACTCAGTCACCTGACCACACTGACTGCAAGGGAAATGTAGTCCATCTGTGTGCCGGGAGGAAGAGGGAATGGTCTAGGGAATGCACAGCAGTCTGGCCCACAGGGTTCAATACGTCTTCATTGGCAGCCTGAGTGAATGAAAGCTGTGTCCGGCGTGTCTTTGGTGGGCAGAGGTCTGGTTTTCTGGAGGGATCCTGAGTCTCTACCACGTTGTCTCTTCAGGACAAGCCACGCCAAGGCCAAAGCTGAGGCAGCGGAACAGGCCGCCCTCGCTGCCAACCAGGAGTCCAACATTGCCCGCACTTTGGCCAGGGAGCTGGCTCCGGATTTCTATCAGCCAGGTAGGGCCAGCCCGGGAGGGGACGGGCAGCACAGGGTGAGGGCAGGCCTGGGTTGGACCATTTTCTTTTTGTTTGGTTGCTGGAAAGCTGAGGTGCCCAAGTGGCTTCACAAATGCCCCTGAGTTCAAGCAACTAGGGGGCGGGTATGGTAAAAGCTTGGGTGAGAAGCTTGGGAGCGACACTAGGGGACTCATGCTAAGATGGTGGTGGGGGCATCAGAGGCTGCCGGTTGTGGACTGGACCCACCCCAGGCTGCACACAGGGCTGACAGGTGAGCTGATGAAGCTTAGCGAAGGGAGAGGTCTCTGTGGATGAGGAGGCAAAAAGCCCCGCTGCTCTTGCTCATCACTTTCAGTCTGGCATTGAGTGCTGCCCACGTGTCAGGCACTGTGCTGGGCTCTGCTTACAAAACCTGGATTCTGGGTCCAGAATCTAGAGGAGCCGAGAGTCATGAAGACAACCTATCAGGGAGTGAGGCACGTATTCATGTCCTGACTCCGCTGCTAACCAGCTCAGCAACCTTGTTAAGTTCTTTAACCTCTGCAAACCTCAGTTTTCTGATCTGTAAAATGAGAGTAAGAATAATACTTACTTTTGGGGGGTGGGTCCAATGCATGTCAGGTGGGGAGCACATGGCCCAGTCCACAGTGAGCTCTTGATAACTCTTGGCTCTTGTCTCACGGTTATGATTAAATTGCGCACAGCATCAGTTCTGTGTGGCTTGAACAGGGGCTTTGGGAGCTCAGGGGGGCACTTCACCCAGTCAGGCAGGGAGATGTTAGCAAAGGCTGCCCTCCAGAGAGGCTGTTTGAGCCGAATCCTGGAGGCTGAATGAGAGTTCACCAGTTCAGTGGGTCTCAAACATGACACAGCATGCTGGGCCCACCCCCAGTTTCTGATTCACTAGGTTGGAATGTGCTTTTCTTTTTAAAAAATATTTTATTTATTATTTATTTTAGAGATGGGGGGCGGGGAGCAGAGGGAGAGGGACAAGCAGACTCTGTGCTGAATACAGAGCCCGACGCGGGGCTTAATCCCAGGACCCCGAGATCATGACCTGAGCCAAAATCGAGTCGAAGGATTAACTGATTGAGCCACGCAGGCGCCCCTGAATGTGCTTTTCTAACAAGGATCAGGCAACACGGATGCTGCTGGTTTGGGACCACTCCCTGCATCCCGACTCATGGCCCCACGCGGTGCTATGTGGGCGGGGCAAACCAGGGGGAAGGGAGTGCAGGTGCAAACGCACAGAAACTTGGAGCAGAGTGGCAGGCTCGGAGGTGAGATAGCTAAAACAGGCAGGACCTGGTGGGAAAAGCTGCAGAGCAAGAGTCTCTGATGGAGACTTGCAGGGGGAGAGGGAGCTGGGGGCGTCCAGGGGGTGGGAGACTGCTGTTCTCCGCACTGAAGGGTTTTATGGTGAGTGGCATGATTAGACTTGGGTCTTCTAAATGTTATCCTGGCTGTAGCAGGGACACCGCCGGGGACCAGTCGGGGGACCGCGGAGCGCAGATGTGTACCTGGGGGGGCTAGGTTGCCTCCCGGCACAGCGCTTGCCCCCGCTGGTCCCAGGAAAAGCGACATTTTACGACACCTCCCGGAGGGGCCTCCACCTTGGGTGGTCATAGCAACAGCAGTCACCACGTGCCAGGCCCTGAGCTCCACATTTTTCATGCATTTTTTTCCATTAACCCTTCTGTTAGTATTTATTTATTTATTTATTAAAGATTTTATTTATTTATTTGAAAGAGAGAGAATGAGAGAGAGCACATGAGAGGGGGAGGGTCAGAGGGAGAAGCAGACTCCCTGCCGAGCAGGGAGCCCGATGCAGGACTCGATCCGGGGACTCCAGGATCATGACCTGAGCCGGAGGCAGTCGCTTAACCAACGGAGCCACCCAGTCGCCCACCCCTTCCGTTAGTATTTATGAAATAGGTACGATTAGGCCATTTTTCCAATAAGGGAATGGAAGGAAACCAGTGTCACGGTGAAGAAGTTGGACTGGGTGCTGGTCCTGGCTCTGCCCTTTGTCAGCTGGGTGACTTTGGGCAAGTGATGTCACCTCTCTAAGCCTCCCTTTCTTCCTCTGGACACACGAGGCCAATAATAGCATGGACCTCTTAGGGTGGTTAAAAGGCTACTCTTTGGAAACTGCTGGGCCCACGCTAGACGGTGGGAAGGTGCCGGCTGAGTAAATAAAGCAGGCTGGGCGGCATTAAGCGGCTCGCCCAGGGTCACCAGCGGTGGGACCCGGGTTCGAGGCCATCCTCGCTGGTTGTCCCCCGCAGGACCGGAGTATCAGAAGCGCCGGCTGCTGCAGGAGATCCTGGAGAACTCAGAGAGCCTGCTCGAGCCCCCGGAGCGGGGCCCCGGGGCGGCGGGGCCCCCACCGCGGTCCCGCGAGAGCCCGCAGCTGCACGAGCGCGAGCCCCTGGGGCCCGATGGCGGCCCCCCGTCGCCGGCCGGGACGCCCCCGCAGCCCAAGCGGCCCCGCCCGGGGGCGACCAGGGACCGCCTGGCGAGCCCGGGCGCCTGGAACGGGGAGCCGGGCGCCGAGGGCAGCCGGCCGCTCACACCGTCCGAGGGCGCGGGCCGCCGCAGCCCCGCGCGGCCTGCCGCCGAGCACATGGCCATCGAGGCGCTGCAGCCGCCGCCCGCACCGGCGCAGGAGCCCGAGGTGGCGCTGTACCGGGGCTACCACAGCTACGCCGTGCGCACCGCGCCGCCCGCGCCGCCGCCCTTCGAGGACGAGCCCGAGCCCGAGGCCTCCGGGCCCGACTCCGCGCCGCCGTCGCCGGCCGCCGCCCCGCCGCGGGCCCCCGAGCTCGCGCCCGGGTCCCCGGCCAAGCTGGAGCCAAAGCCCATCGTCCCCAAAGCCGAGCCCAAGGCCAAGGCCCGCAAGACTGAGGCCCGAGGGCTGACCAAGGCGGGGGCCAAGAAAAAGGCTCGGAAGGAGACGGCGCAGGCAGCCGAGGCCGCAGTGGAGGTGGACGAGGTGAGGCTGGGGGGCGGGAGGACGTGTCCCAGCTCGGGTCCCCCGGGGCTGGTTGGGCTCGAGGCGGGATTCCAGTGCGGATGATTTGGGCGTGCGGAGGGTGATGGCACAGGACGGGGCAGGGGAAAACCCCCGCAGGGATGTGGGCTTAGTCAAGGGTAGCCTGATCAGGACTTGGTAGCATAAATCACAGTGTAGAGTTCGCCCACCTTGGGGCAGGGGGCAGGCCTTTGTGCCTGCGGTCAGGTCAGCAGGGGGCAGTGCTTTGGAGAAGGGGCTGCTGGGAGCCCTAAGCAGGTGGGGCGGGGGGAGTGAGTGCACCTGGGGAACCAGAACGATCTGAGCTGAGCACCAGCAGCATCTGCTACAAGGTGTAGTAGCAGGGAGGGCTTCCTGGCCGTGGAGGAAGGACCCAGTAGGGCTTATTAGAGGGGGCTGGGAACTGGAAACTCAGGGACCGAGAGTGAGGCAAGGTTGTGTGGGACCAATGGATGCCGTCCGGGGGGTGGGGGGTGGGGATTAGCAGAAAGGAAGGCATGTTCTGGCTTCCAGGCCCAGCGCTGCCCACTCTGTGCTTTGGGACACATCCTTGCCCCTCTCTGGACCCTATATGGTTTGGTTAATCGTTTCCCAGAATCCTTTAGCTCTGATGGTCTGCTGTCCAGGTGCTGGACACAGCAGTGAGCAAAACGAGGGGTGCTCTCAGGAGGGTTTTTCAGAAGTTCCTGCTCCTCTGTCCAGCCTTGTTGGGTCTTGGGTGGGGGGTGTTTCAGAGGCCATGGGAACTCAGCTTCTCTCCACTGCTCCCAGGTCCCCAACACCGTCCTCATCTGCATGGTGATCCTGCTTAACATCGGCCTGGCCATCCTCTTCGTTCACCTCCTGACCTGACCCTTGTCTACCAGGTGCATCCCCTGGGGGGGCGGGGGGAGGAAGGTGAGCCTGCAGAGAGCTCTGGGCACCAGGGAGATGGAGGAAGGATGTTGTCTACTGGGCATCTGTCCTGTGGCTAATTTGAGGCCCGGCCCCCAGCAGAGGGAGGGACGACGGATTTGTGGATTTGATAGATCATGCCTTCCCCAACACACACTCACACCCCTTGTTAGCTCAACATGTGCAGAGCACCTGCACCTTGTCAGGTGAGCCCTGGGGGCTTCACTCATTCATCATTCATTCATTCATTCATTTGACCACCATTTACTGAGCAGATGCTCTGCTGGGATCTAGGGTACATCAGGGACCCACTCCTGCCCTAAGAAATGGGGTGAAGATGACAGTAAACCCTTAACTTACAGCTTATTATGCAGAAGTGGGACATGCGGAGGTGAGGCAAAACAGCCTCCCCCCAGACTCCCACAGTCTCACCTGAGCTTGCCTGAGACGGGCAGGCCTTTTTCTCTCGGCCCTCCCTTTCTCTCTTGCCCACTTCAGTCTGTAATCCCTCTGCCCCTGGCCTCCCCATCCCCCAGTCCTCCCTTCCAGAAACCCCCACTGTCAGTCAGTCGGTGTCCCATGCTGGAGCTGGGAGGGCTTGGTAAGACCGGTAAAAATAAGCTGGGCTGGGCGGTGCTGGGCTGAAGGAGAGTGGCTCTCATGGGTCTCAGGGTGAAGTATCCACAAAACAAGATCTTTTCCCTGCTAGGACCAGCCTTCACACCGTAAATCCTGTGCTTGGTGATGCTAACAGAGTTTCTGCGTCCTGCCCTGCCCCCAACCAAAGACCCCAGCCCCCCTCCTCAATCCCAGCTTAGTGTGGGCTGGAGGTTCCTACTCAGTCCCAGGACAGGAGAAGAACTCCCTGTCCAGTCACCCAGTAAATAGCCAGTGACAATATCAGCCTGGTAGGTGGTGTCCTGGGGATGAGCGCTGGGCTCCGCTGGGTCCTGTGTTCCACAGGGGATCTGGGCGTGTTGGCTGCAGGAGCTGACACTTTATGACCCGAAGGGTGGAAGGGTGAACCAGATGACAGGAGGAGGAGGGCCGGGGAAGAGAGTACCAGGCACAGGGACAGCAAGGCTGGGAGAGGCCTCACGGACTTGACTCTGAACCTGTTCAGTCAGAGCCCAGGGGCAGGGCTGCCCAGGAGGCTGGGAGAGGTGGGTCCTGGCCCCAAAACACATCAAGCCTGAGGCTTGAACCGTGCCTCGAACCTGGCTCAGCCTCGTCCTTTCTCCCTCCCTCCCTCCCTCCCTCCCTCAACTGAGCCTCTCGCTGTCTCTCTGCAGAGCCAGCAGTCCCTGCTGAGGACGTGAGGACCCATCTTTCTGCATTACCAGGCAGGGTGGCCAAGGAGGACTGAACTCTGGACCTGGAGCCCTGGGGTCCAGCTCACATCCACCCCACATCCGTTTAAGGAGGCCTCCTGTGGCCCTGCGCTGGGTGGCAGTGGTGCCCAGAGGAATGGAATGTGCTGGGGATCCTCCGGGAGCTCTGTGCCCGGCAGGGGAAGCCTCAAAGGAAGAGCCCTGGTCTCCTGAGCGCGCCTGTCCCTTATCCTCACCCATTCCCTCGCCTTGCTGCTAGGGTCCCCCTCCCTGAGCTTTTGCGTGTTTTGGGAGACGTCACTAAACCAAGGTAGTAATACGAACTCCCAGCCCCTTTACTTGCACCCCTGCCCTGATTTATTTTAACCGTCTGGCTGTGGGGGGAGTGACAGATCCCCGCGGCAGGCGAGCCAGGGAGCCCCCCCACCCCCCCGCCCCGACGGGGCAGAGGCTATGCCTTTCGTGGGCTTCGTGCAGCACACATTCTGTCCCTTGCTTACAGATGTTCTGGATGACAAGAGAGGCAATGGACATGCTTAGTTTGAAAATCCCAGGATACAGTGCTCCTGCCTCCTCCCACCGGTTCAGTCACCTTCCCTCCTGGACCAGTTGAAGAGGGGGAGATGCAAGGCACTGGAGCCTGGGGTGGGAAGAAGGGCCAAGGGATGGCCCCTGTCTTTGAGTGTGCCTGAGCCCGAGGCTGCCTCGCATCTGGGGCTTCCAGTGTGCCCAGGGTGCTAAAGGGCCACCCGCAGGAGCCCCAGGGGCTGCCAGGATAACACTAGCGGGATGTCCTACGAATTGGTTTGTCCATTTCCCTCACCAGGGCCCACCGCAGCCTCAAGGGAGAATGAGCATGGAAACCCTTGGAAGCCCAGGCAGATTTCCCTGGGGACAGACTCTCAGGCAGGCGCTGAAGACAGGCTATTTGTCAACAATCATTTGCCAGGGAGAGAAGAGCAAGTCTGGGGTCCCCAGTGGGTGCAGTCTGTTGGATAATGAGCCCCTTGGCTTGCTTGGCAGAAGATGGTATTTGCATGTAGCTCATTACAAATGTTTTGTACCACACTGGACCTCCAGTCCCTCGTGCTTGCTGGGCTGGGTGGAGGCTGAGGGCTCACGGGCCCGTTCACCTGGGAGGACAGAGGAAAGGGCTTCTAGGCCCCTTCAAACCCAGGGAAGATTGTGGCAATGTCATCCAAGCAGAACCGTGGGGATGCCGCTCTCCTGCTTGTTTCTGCGGACCTTGGGGGCTTTGGTGTTGTGGTCCAGCCTCCCCAGGGCAGCCCCGCAACCTGGAGTCTGTTTCTGATGAGGTTGGCCTCGCCTTTCCCCCTCGGTACTTGGGCACCTTCCTCCAGCTCCACGTGTGCTCTTTCAGGCGCCGCTGGGGCCTCATGGCGGGGCTGGAATCTTGGACTGCGTTTCTGTGGAGAGGAGCCTGCGGATTCTCCCGTCCTCAGCCAGCCTGTGGCTCTGCGTCTGTGTTTGGGCTTTTCTGGACTCCGAGGGAAGGACAGGGCTGGGCTGGGGGCACTGCTCAGGGCTGGTGGGCCCCAGGCCTCGGCTCTGAGAGCATTGTCCAGGTTTGGGGCTGGCCCAGTGCTGGAGATAAGCCTCTGGGCACCAGAGCTCCCGGGCCTAGGGTTAGGGCTGGTGCTTGGGGTGAGGGTTCTGGATGCTGCCGTCTGTACAATAATAAACCTACATCTGCTCGCAGGCTCTGGAGGAGCTGCAGGGTCTGCTTGTGGGCCCAGCCTGAGGGACTGACTGAAGTGGGCAGGAGAGGCTGGGGGTCCGGTCTTTTTCTTACAGTTCCTATCATACCCCTTCGGGGCAGCCGAAGGGCTTCAGTGCAGATCAAAGACCTTCTAAGGCAAACCCTGGATTTCTAAAGCAGACTTCCAGAACCTTCCCTGAGAAGCGTGTGTTAGAAGAAAGAGCTGCCCTTTGAGGTTAGGTCCTCTTGGCCTCCTGTCCTGCTCAGCCACTTATGTCTCTTCTGACCCTCAGTTTCCCCATCTCTAAACAGGGAAAATAATGGTACCTCCCTCCCTCCTGAGACTGGTGGGGATTCCACAAAGTGTCGATGCTCGTGGAGGAAAGCCCGGCTGAGGAAGCAGTGGAGACATGGAGACTTGGATCATGATTGCCAAACACCCCAGTACCTCTTGCATTTTGGTTGAGGACCCCAGAAGCCCCAAAAGCATGGAGACGACCCAGGTTACAGTCAGTCACAGAATGTCTCAGAGGTCCAGAGGCCACCTTCCTTCTCTACAGAGGCCCAGAGAGGAGAGATTTGCCAGGGGTCACACAGCAAGTCAGCGGCAGGAAAGCAGTTGTCCCGACTTGTGTGTGAAGAAGCACTTCCGGTGAAGGTTCTCCTGCAGCTGGCTGCCCCGTGTGACGGTTGGAGGGGCGGGTCCCTCGCCCCTCCACCTCACCCCTCCACAGGCAGTGCCCAGAGTGAGTGGGGGATCAGGACTCCCCTTTTTCTCCCCGGTGCTACCACGGACTCGCTGTGTGTCATTCCTTCCTTCCTTCTGTACCTCAGTTTCCTCTTCTGCCAAAGAGATTAGAATCCCTGCCCGTGGCTTCCTTCACAGGCAGTGCAGTGAGAACCAGATGAGGGGGATTGTGGGTGGTAAAGAGGTGTTCGAAACCCTGGAATTATCCAGGAATCCCAGGAAGAAGGAGGGGCTTGGAGGGACCACTGGAGGCGTGGCGAGGATAGGAATGAGGGAGCTGCTTAAATCGGCAGGGGTTCTAACAAAACCCACTGAGGGAAGGAGGGTCTGTAGACTGTGTGTGTGTGTGTGTGTGTGTGTCTAGGAAATGGGAGTGAGGGGTGGGGTGCATCAGAATCACCTTGGATGGTTTGTAAAGAAGGCTCATTCCTGAACCCCCAGGGAGCCTCCATGTCAGGGAAGGTTGGCCAGAGTCAGGTGCCCCCTGGTGGCTCAGGTGTGCACGCAGACTGTCCCAGTCTTGGCCAGTGCCAGCTCGGGGAAGTTTGGCCTGTGCTCTGCCATGTCCAGCATTCATTTAAGGCGTCTTGTGCCATAGGGGAACCTGAAACCACCCCATGGGCATTGCCGGGGCCTCTGACCACTGACGGCTACCTTGGGGTCTTGGCAGGAAGCTTCCAGGGCAGTGGGAAAGGACACTCAAGGAGCAAGCAGAGGTCCCTCTGTCGGGGTATCCAGACAGAAGGAACTTCAGTTTGCTGAAAAAAGAGCCCAGGACCCTGTAAGGAGGCATGTGAGCAGAGTGGAGGGGGAGTGGGGCTGGTGTGGGGCTTGCTGCTCCAGAGGGTTAGGGGGCCCTGCAGTCGGAGTCCTGGCCTGGCCTCGGGTCCTTCAGCTCCTGGGGACGGCTCAGCAGCTGGAGGGCAGGGCTCCCACCCTAGGAAGGCCTCCCTCAGTGGGTTCCTCATCCCCTTCTGGTCCCTAAGAGGAAGGAAGTCGTCTCTCTGGGCAGTGGGTGAAGGGTGTGTGTGGAGTGGGGTCCAGCTGGAGATAATGATAGTACACAGTGTCCCCCACTCCCGGCACCCCCAGGCCCATCCTGTCTGGGAGGAAAGCAGCTGATGCACTCATCCTCACCGGGGTGTTTGAAAGTTCCAGGGGGAATTTTCACTG